GTCTCCTTCAACAATCTGAAGCCTTAAGGTTTGAATGTGTGTAAAAGGTCGGACAATACGCCCAATATGGCTGGATTCGCTGGCAGCTCTTCTAACTCAATCAGCACATAAGTTAAGGCCTAGATAGTGCGCAACCCCCCCCATTTCCGGTTCAAATCCGTCAGTACAGGACGCTGAGAATGAAGGCAAATTTGTATCGACAAGTTCAATGATCGTAGTCTACAAATTCTCCCAAATGACATGAGACGAGAATCAAAGTTCCAGTGGGAAGAACGGATAATCCGCAAACATCAAATGTGTGTAGGCTCCAAATCCTCAACCACAAAGGAGAACTTCAAATCTACCAACTTCAGTGAAAGTTTAGCCATTGGGTAAGCGCATTTCTTAAGTCTGAACCTAAGAATGGGTGTCAAAGGTTCGGATCCAACACAGCCCATTTTAATAGGGGGGGCCGGATTTGCTGGCAGCCTGTCTACTTAATAAGCCATAAGAGAGGCCGTTAGTAGAGGAAACCCATCCTAGTAACCAGATGAAGAAAGAGCCTGTCAAATTCTAGCTCTCCCCAATCTGTGAACTCAAGTGATTCAGATTAAAGTCTTCTCAAGTGGTTAGGATCAAAGAGATACTACTACGTTTCGGTACTATTCGAACTGAATCCAGAACCTGTAATCCTTCAAACAAATCGTTTTAAAGCACAAAGCGAGGATCAAAGGAGTTTTCTTCAACAAGTCGTCAAGCACAAAGCAAAACAGGAGCCGAAGAAAATTATCCCAAGTTCGCAATAATAGCCCAATGTTGAACTAAAAGTGGATCTGTCATCAACAAGTCCTGTTATGCACAAAGCTATCTGGACCGATGGACTTCTTCGCCACACCTAATACAAACCTACCAGGTTAGGTCGCCGGCATCTTACTCCTCATCACGCCCGCAAAAGCTAGAAGCAAAAGGCCAGAAGGTATAAATCTCCTGACAGAGTAGTAAAAGACTAAATCAGAATAATCTTCATCACATGTCCCGTAGCACCAAAGCACAGGACAGAAGAACCAAAAATCTCATATA